ATGTTCTCACCCCTGCTGAAGTGGACTGCAGTTTCGAGCTCGCATAGGTCTTATCAAAAGTCGTGGTTCGACTCCCACTTGGGGTGTTGATAAGACCGATACGAGATCGAAACTGCAATCCACTTCAGCCGAGATGAGAAGGCCTTTTGGGAAAACAAAGGCTATGTGAAATTGAATGAAAACGTCAGCTCTACTCATATTATTGTGGGAAAATTCTTCTTCTATCAGTCCCTCATCACCTTAAACGAAATTGGGTGAATACATCTCATACTACTGATTTACTGGTAGTCTTGAAACAATACTTAAATGCGAAAAATAAAATAACATAGTCGATTTTTGATAGAGCAAGGCTATGTAAATTAAATGGAAAATGTCATTCTACTTATATGATTGTAAGAAAATTCTTCTTCTACTAGCCTTTCATAACCTTAAACGAAATTGGGTGAATACATCTCATCCTACTGATTTACTGGTAGTCACGAAAACAATACCTTATTCGAAAAAAAATAATAGTAGTAATAAAATGTTAGCAATTCTGCATCCTTGATCGAATCTGGTGATGAAGTATTGTAATTTGCATTTTGCCGCAATCTTATGGGCATGCTTCATGCATTCTTTGAATTTCATGTATTTTTCGAAGATATGAATACCCAAATAGTGTGGCCTTCTATTCGACCACAGTTTCCTTTAGCTTCATATTGTTGGTTCGGCCTCGTTTTCGCAACCTGGTCGCCGCGTCAGGAAGACCCTGTGAAACGTGTCCTTGCCAGAGTTTCCGTGACTGCCAGCATCGGACCATTGAGTTGGTACATTCCCAAAACGTTTCACCGGCATCTTAGTCGGCTCTCGAGCTAATTCGCAAGAGCATAGACATATCCATAGTTTATCCTCTGTTCCTATTACCTTCTTTGCATAATCACGTATTTTTGTTTAATCGGGGCACCTTTTGAGAAGGAAGGCTATGCGCAATTCAGTGGAAACACACGGCATATTCATACGATGATGGGAAACTTCACTAAACGATTCGATTTAGGGTGGAAATTTATTAATATTAGATCATTATTTGTGCTATATTAGCAAACAATATATACAAAAGAATTGGATAATTTGTTAGGAGCATCCTCCATAGGGGTGATACCTTTAGGAAAGCAGGGCTATGTGAAATGCACTCATGTGATTGTGGGCAAATCCGACTATGCTTACTTCTTCATTTTACTGGAAATGGGGTGAATGCAACATGGATTGGCTGAATTTCGTATGACAATGCGAGTGTGAAGAATGTATAAATTGGCCTCACTCGAGGTGTGTGATTGAGTAGACGAGAAAGAGTGGTTTGCGCTCTTTTTCACACTGTTTCAATGGTTTGAACCTGCCTGAATCAAATATTGTGTGTCTTGTTGGGTTGTTCAAAGGCGGACAGATCCTGTTCTGGAGGAGGACATGCAACTGCAACCGGCTCCGTCCGTCTGTCATTTGCCTGCTCTTCCCGTGTTGCCGGGTCCTTCGTTGCCGGGCAGCCAAGGCAGTGTGTATCCACAATTCATGACGGCCATGTTTGCTGCTGCCGCCGCTTCTGCCTCGCGACCGTCGCTCATCGGCCAACCGGCGTTAATGCCATTCTGGCCGAGCGGGCTGCCGTACCCGTCGGTGGAGAAAGAGGCTCTGCTTCAGCCCGTCCTACCGTCCGGTCTGTCGTCGGCTCTCTTCCCGGCAGGTCCGGTGGCTGGGATCACTTCGGCACTGACCGCCCGATGGAGCGGACTCTCACGAGCCACATACGCGCGTCTCTACAGCGCCGGTAGGCAATCTTCACTAATTAATCACAAATCATCTTTTTTCTCTCCTCTCCTCTCCTCTCCTCTCCTCTCCTCTCCTCTCCTCTTCTCTTCTCTTCTCT